TGAGCAGTCAAACCATGAAAAAAGGGTTGAGTAGGGAGTAGATAAAACGGATGACTTAAAAACAAATTATGGAGATAAAAATAAAGCCACTAGCTAATTAAAACCACAAATCAAATATCGAGTAAGAATTCAGGTGTATTTCATTTCAGGAGCTGAAAGGAAGTTGGAAAATGAGCTTACATTCATCTGGTCTCCAGATACATGAGTCTTAATGGAATAGAAATATAAACTTTATTATTGTGTCAAAGCATGTGTTCAGCTTGTTCTTGCCAAAAATAATAATAATGCAGATTTAAAAACAGGTAAACTCGCAGGGGTGTCAAACTCAAGGCCCGGGGGCCAAATCCGGCCCGCGACTTCATTTCATGTGGCCATTATAATATGTTTATTATACGGTTTCATGCCGCTTTACAGAAGCACATTGCCCATAAACTACATGTCCCACAATGCATCTCAAATTAGACTTTTTTCTCTTTTTTTTTTTTTTTACCGGAATTTGGCTTTTCTTTTTAAATCATTTTGTGACATGCGCACTGAAGAGACTTGCAATTGTTTGACCTAGACTTCTGCTTTCTGACGTAGTTAATTATGAAGTTATTACCCTATCCGATAATAAAAGCAATGCAAAGGCAATAATGTAATATAATACATTATTTTATATATATTACATATTTATATATTTATTCTTATATAGTCTTATATAAAACTTGCCATGATGCTAATGTGGCCCGAGTTGAAAATGAGTTTGAGACCCCTGAGGTAGAGAGTTGAAGAAACTTCCTAAAACAGTTGCATCCTGTAGTGTCATCAACAAAAACTACTCAAACAGGAGATTACAAGTGTATTTGTTGAGTATTTTTGAAGACAGATGGATCAATACACATTGTACAGAAGCGACTACAACAAGGGGGATAAACACTACCGGTGATCCATTTTTTAAGTCTGATCAAAAATGTTTAGAACAGGTGGGGGAAACCAAGCTATGCCAGGAAACTCATTCTAATTTCATTTTTAAATCTGTGAAACAGGTGGGGAGAGAAAACTATTTATTTCAGAAAATTGATTACCAGATTAATTTTTTCTCTTTCGCCTTCAGAGCTTCCAGATTTTATGTGAAAAATAACCTCATGATAAACTACACTGTACGTGTTCACCTACATAATTGATAATTCATGTGTTTTATTAGTTCTGGACAATCATCAAGCTTTGCCTAAAAGTCCAGACTTGTAGCAAGATCAAATAACTGTTAGTGTTTTTACTTTTAATGTGATTTTTGGGAGTATATCAAAAGCATTACCTTTAATTAAACCAGTCTAATCATCCACCTGCTTATGTGTATTGTTCCATATGAATGCATTTCAAGCAATTGTGTGGCATTCCTCAATCTCAGCAATTACCTTGGTGACTACACTATTATTTAAACTGATTGAACTATGACCAGAAGTTGGAAGGAAGACCCAAGTTGCTACGATTAAAAGTATTTCTTAAACTGTTATAGGATTGTTATGTCTTTTAATATGAAGTTAGTAATTCAGTCTGTTTTGGCGCTGGTTGTGTTTGTGGTTATAGACGATAGGTTTAAGATGTATATCTCTTGTGGACTTGGGTTAGGTTATTGAGTTATGGGTTAGGGTTAGGGTTAGGGTTAATCTATTGTCATGAGATCTGTCTATAAATTAACCGTGTCTGCGCTCCAGACTTCTCAAAATCGTCTCGCTAAAGCACAGACAGACCAACCATACTTAATGTGCCCTGCACTCCAACAGAAACACTGACCGCTGTTTCTTCAAGGCACGTATGCTAATGTGTAAAAATACATATGCATCTCAGCCATGAAAAGGCCTTTTTATTCCAAAGGTTGCTATAAACATATTGTACAGGGTACTTAGATAAGACCGTATAGTTCCAAGAATGAAACAATGCTTTCAGGGCTTATCTCGCGGACTCCATGCCTGGTTATGTTCGTCACGACTGAATGGGATCCATGGCATTTTACTATTTGCCCAAACAGAGTGGCATTCACCTTGCGAGGCATGCTCAGCTACCCAGGAAATGAACAGAAGCTAAACACAAGGCTGCAAAGAATACTGATGCTGAAAGTCATGGTGCAGAAATTTGGTTTTCCAGTGATTTTGATAGAAATTGCAAAAAGGGAATTAAATAGCTTCCAACCCTGCATGAATAACTTAAAAAAAGCTGCTCCAGTCTTTACAAACAATTGATATATACATTTACATCTTAAAAGGCCTTTAGAAATAATGAATCCGTAGGAGCTCAGTGACGGTGAACATGTTGCCTTTGACAGCTGGCCTTATATTTGACAGAAAGGAGCATTGGGCTTTAAAACAGGCCTGATATCAATACGGTATAAATATCCAGGATTGCCGTAATATTTTCAAACCCTGTCAGAAATGAAGCCTATAATGCAAACGGACTCCTGGTGAATCTGCATCAGACGGGCCTCAGTGAGATGATGCATCTCATTTCTCAGAAAAACGAGGACTCGATATGTACAGCGTTATTATTCGGCCGATGCGCTTGCACTTCAGTGATTGTGTTACAAGAGCAAACCCAAACGAAGGTGATTCATTCAAACCTGAGAACAAATATTAGTGTAAGACAGTTTGAATGACCAATTAATTAAGGTGTATCCCTCTAAGAACTGCTGGCAAAAGAAACAGCTTGTATTGTAAATCATTCTTAAGACTAATTGCCGCTAAGATACTTTTAAAAGTGATTATGAAGTTGTTTCCCGCATTCATCAAAGTTCATCATGCACAGATCTTCCACAAACAAATTGTCCCGTTCCTTCTTCTGATAATTTACAGAAAATAAAAGGATCATACTGAAGTTATTAAGCTTTCCTTTGATGCTCAGCTGTCCGCTCACATTAACTCACTGCTGGTTTCCGTGTTGATGCGTTTATCAAGGCTGTGTTTCCCTAATGGCTCCAAAGTGCAACCAAACCTCAAGAGTTCTCAGTTTAGATCTGCATGCTTCTCTGTCCCTGTGAGCAGTTCTGAACCCAGATCTCCGTTAGATCTGAGACGGGTTATTCAGCAGATCCAGGGTCAGCTGCTACAGCCATGCATTGCGTACTCTGCAGGACTTTGGGGAATAATCATGCATGTCGTTTTTGATTAAAACTGTTTATAAATTCAGCCGGAGTCGTTTCATTGCACTTTGGTAGCTGAAGGTTGAATGAAAAATCCACCTTGTGATCCTTTTACACTTCACTTCATTAATTTGAGCCACTTGATTATTTTCCAAGAACCTCAACCTGACTCATCGGTTTTAAACACATCTCTCTTAGTGCTTCTCAAAAGGCCAAACCAAGGTGGGTGTGGAGCGACCTGACCACCTGGTATGTTGAGAGTGTTCACATGAAGATGGCCACAACGCCACCTCAAGTTTTTACTTTACCAATTTTAGCCTACAGTTGTATAGTGTGTGTAGCTCTTTAAACATTAAAACATATATCAAAGCTTAGGCATGTGACTCGAAATGGAAGCCGAAAAGCACATGTGATGTGTAGGATTTGCAAAGAAATAAGCATTTAGGGAGGAAGTGATTTAAGATGCCATTGAGTTGCATCATGGGAATTGTAGGATCCAGTGTTTCAGAGCTTGTGATCCTAACTGGGCACCTGTCATCATTATTAAGCATATTATTGGCCAGTGGTGAAATAATTTAATGGATACACAGTGTGTAGAAATCGATGTCCTGCTGCTGTATTTACGCCAAATTTTAAATGATTTTGAGATTGGAGCAGCTCCAATGTTCGAACCAACCTCTACCCATCTAATTACGACTTTTTACTTCATGTATTTGTTATTTTGGCATCAGTTTTATCAGTGTATTGCAAATAAGTCAAATCCGAATAAATTTTCTTTTTGGTTCATGCCACTCCGATGCATACATCTTGACCATAAGGTTTTTTTTAAATCTATATAGACTGCTCAACGTGAATTTGAACAAATCTCAATGCACATAAGAGTGCGCTTAGTAGAACTGATATCAAGTATGAATGTCAATGGAAAGAAATAGAGAACCAATACAGACTCCATAAAAGGCAAATTAGTTTAAGAGTGTTGCATGGTCTTACAGTCTCATTATACAAAAGGCCTTAGGTGAAATTAAACCTCTTGTGGCGAGATCTGTTTCTAGATAAGGGTGAAATATTAATAACAGCAGCATGATCCTTTGAATCCAAGACAATCAGACACACACAGCTGTTCTATAAATAGACTAAAGAATGTCACGAAACCATGGTACACTCGGTAAATGACATCTAATGCACATGCTATATTGGCAACGATATTTTGGCCTGATGTGTGGCGAAACCATTGGAGTATATGATTGCTTATAGAAAACAATACCTGATGCTTTGAGTCATTTTAAAATCTCTGTCTGCAGTGAGGCAATGGAATAGTAACGGTTCTTCAAGTTAAGGTGAAACAAGCATACTCCCTTTTTGAAAAATAACATTTCCCCAAGTGTGCATCATTTGGCATGTAACCAAAGTTAATATAACAATTCTGTTGTGTAAATGTTAAATAAGGACCTCATCTTGTAGTGTCTGTAAATGGAGCAGGCTCTTGAAAAAATAGACATCCATGCTTCATGCTGTTCCTCCGCAGTGTGTCTGTTCTGCACAGTGTTCTTCATCTGTTCCCAACAATACTTTTTATATTACACACAAACCAAAGAAGGAAATAAGTGCTGAAATAAGATTTGGTAAGGAGCAGCATTGGAAATGTTTGACCTTGTGTATAAAACAACTAGTTTGTCCTGTGTGTGTTACACTGAGAACACTGAAACATTGGCTTTAATCAAATGCATTATGTCAACAGATTTCAAACAACATTAATTAGGTTAATTAAAAGCTATAATATTAAGTTTAAATAACAAATAGTAGGTTCAACTTCATATGATTGCTTTCAGCTAACCTAATACAGTAACATGTTTCTTCAAATACTCAACTTTTTACTGTGATATCTTGTTTCAATAGTTACTTTATCACTTTAAGGTGTTGTATAATTATTTAAATTTGTATTCTTTATTTGACCCTGTCTGAAACTGTTGCTGCTATAAACGCCTGAATTACCCCAAGGGGATCACTAAAGTTTCATGTCATCTCATCTTAACTTAATGTGAATGTGTTGACATAATACATTGAATTAAAGCCAACGGTTCATTATTCTCAGTGTAGGCCTTTAAACAGATTTCCTTCTCCTCATCAGCTGGTGATTGTCTGTGAAGTTGTGGAGGCCCGGAGACACCGAGCTGACGGGCGACGGGTAGAAGCTGTTCTTCAAGGTGCTGGGCGAGATCTCCTCGATCTTGTATGAAACGGAGTGAAAGTACTGATTGGGATTCAGCTGCGAGCTGAACGAGTTCTGATGGGAGAAGGCACAGCCCAGGCCTCCCATCCCCCCCCCAGAGCTGCCGAAGTCATGCGAGTGGTAGTGCATACAGGAGCACACCGACTGCAGATCAGTCACTTCCTGTCGGTACGCTTCCCTCCGCCGTCGGCCCCTCGGCAGCGACTCGTCCTGGATGTGGATGATCATGCTGTTCCTGTTTCCCGCCAGCGAGGCTCTTTCCTCCGCGTCCCGTCTCTCGTCCTCGCTGTTCATCGTCAGGAAGCGAAGAACCACCAGGTTGAGGAACGCCCCGATGACCGTGAGGCCCACCAGGATATACATGAAGCTAAAGGCCACGTACATGGGCTTCTTCTGGAGAGCCCGGTTCTTTTGAAGGGCCACAAAGTCCCCAAAGCCAATAGTTGTTAATGTGATGAAGCAATAATAATAAGACTGGAAGAAGCTCCAGTCCTCGTAGTGGGAGAAGGCGACGGCTCCGACGCACAGCGTGCCGACGCAGGAGAAGAACCCCACGGTCACCATGTTCTCCATGGACACGTCCGTGATGCTCATCCCGCAGCACTTCTTGATGCGTTTCAGGAGGTACTTGACAAAAGTGTTCATCCTCTCGCCCAGACTTTGGAACATTACAAGCGTCAAAGGGATTCCCAGGACGGCGTAAAACATGCAGAAGGCCTTCCCAGCATCGGTCCCCGGAGCGGCGTGCCCATAGCCTGAGAAGAGAGGAAACACAAGTTAGTGATGTGGAGAAGATTCGGCCAAAGTGCTGGTGAAGCGACCGAGGTCACGCAAAAAGCCACAGGTCTCAGGAACCTCCCAACATCGATCAATGGGTAGCTATAATTAAAAACATTCACATTATGAACACATGACTTTCAGCCTAACGGCCCGTCCACACACAGGCATGTGTCTGAAGCTTGGCGATATTTTGCGAGCAATGCGACCAACAACCAATCACATGAATCTCCCGCCCCCGACATACAAAGCAATAGCAATGTTAAAACGAAGTAAACTGGATATAAACTCCCCAAACAGGCGAAAACCTACCAGTTTCACCCACTGTCTCTGCCACCTCCCTCCATGCCTGGTTCCTCCGGTTTGTATCCCGGTAAATAGTTCTGGTCGTAAAGAACCGGGT